TCAATTTTGGACTAGGGGTGACCCTAGTCAAAATCAATTTTCTCACTTTTTTCTTCGAGGGTTTATCCAAATGAATTGAAACTTTGCACAAAAATTTTAGTGCTTAAAACAAATACAAATAAAACATCCTAAAATTTTTTTGAGCAAAGAACCAAGTAGGAAATACATTTTCAATTATGAACTTGGGACAGGTCTTGTCAAAATCTAGTTTTTCATTTTTTTTTTCGATGGTTTATCCAATTGGACTTAAACTTTGGATAAATATTCTAGTGCTTAAAACAAATACAAATAAAACATCCTAAAATTTTTTTGAGCAAAGAACCAAGTAGGAAATACATTTTCAATTTTGGATTAGGGGCGACCCTAGTCAAAATCAATTTTCTCACTTTTTTCTTCGAGGGTTTATCCAAATGGATTGAAACTTTGCATAAATATTCTAGTGCTTAAAAAATACAAATAAAACATCCTAAAATTTTTTTGAACAAAGAACCAAAAAGGAAATACATTTTCAATTTTGGACTAGGGGCGACCCTAGTCAAAAACAATTTTCTCAATTTTTTCTTCGAGGGTTTATCCAAATGGATTGAAACTTTGTATAAATATTCAAGTGCTTAAAACAAATACAAATAAAACATCCTAAAATTTTTTTGAACAAAGAACCAAGTAGGAAATATATTTTCAATTTTGGACTAGGGGCGACCCTAGTCAAAAAAAATTTTCTCAATTTTTTCTTCGAGGGTTTATCCAAATGAATTGAAACTTTGCATAATTATTTAAGTGCTTAAAACAAATACAAATAAAACATCCAAAAATTTTTTTGAACAAACAACCAAGTAGGAAATACATTTTCAATTTTGGACTAGGGGTGACCCTAGTCAAAATCAATTTTCTCACTTTTTCTTTCGAGGGTTTATCCAAATGGATTGAAACTTTGCATAAATATTCTAGTGCTTAAAAAAAATACAAATAAAACATCCTAAAATTTTTTTGAGCAAAGAACCAAGTAGGAAATACATTTTCAACTTTGGACTAGGGGCGACCCTAGTCAAAATCAATTTTCTCACTTTTTTCTTCGAGGGTTTATCCAAATGGATTGAAACTTTGCATAAATATTCTAGTTTTTAAAAAAAATACAAATAAAACATCCTAAAATTTTTTTGAACAAACAACCAAGTAGGAAATACATTTTCAATTTTGGACTAGGGGTGACCCTAGTCAAAATCAATTTTCTCACTTTTTTCTTCGAGGGTTCATACAAATGGATTGAAACTTTGCATAAAAATTCTAGTACTCTAAACAAAATCAAATAAAACATCCTAAAATTTTTTTGAGCAAAGAACCAAGTAGGAAATACATTTTCAATTTTGGACAATTCAATTTTCTCACTTTTTTCTTCGAGGGTTTATCCAAATGGATTGAAACTTTGCATAAAAATTCTAGTGCTTAAAACAAATACAAATAAAATATCTTAAAATTTTTTTGAGCAAAGAACCAAGTAGGAAATACATTTTCAATTTTGGACTAGGGGCGACCCTAGTCAAAATCAATTTTCTCACTTTTTTCTTCGAGGGTTTATCCAAATGGATTGAAACTTTGCATAAATATTCTAGTGCTTAAAACAAACACAAATAAAACATCCTAATATTTTTTTGAGCAAAGAACCAAGTAGGAAATACATTTTCAATTTTGGACTAGGGGTGACCCTAGTCAAAATCAATTTTCTCACTTTTTTCTTCGAGGGTTTATCCAAATGGATTGAAACTTTGCATAAAAAGTCTAGTGCTTAAAACAAATACAAATAAACATCTTAAAATTTTTTGAGCAAAGAACCAATTAGGAAATACATTTTCAATTTTGGACTAGGGGCGACCCTAGTCAAAATCAATTTTGTCACTTTTTTCTTCGAGGTTTTATACAAATGGATTGGAACTTTGCATAAAAATTCTAGTACTCTAAACAAATACAAATAAAACATCCTAAAATTTTCTTTGAACAAAGAACCAAGTAGCAAATACATTTTAAATTTTGGACTAGGGGCGACCCTAGTCAAAATCAATTTTGTCACTTTTTTCTTCGAGGGTTTATCCAAATGGATTGAAACTTAGCATAAATATTCTAGTGCTTAAAACAAATACAAATAAAACATCTTAAAATTTTTTTGAGCAAAGAACCAAGTAGGAAATACATTTTCAATTTTGGACTAGGGGCGACCCTAGTCAAAATCAATTTTGTCACTTTTTTCTTCGAGGGTTTATCCAAATGGATTGAAACTTTGCATAAATATTTTAGTGTTCAATAAAAATTTATCTAAAACATATAGTCAAAATCTAGTTTTTCACTTTTTTTCTTCGAAGGTTTATCCAATTACAGTGAAACTTTGAGTGAGTATACTAATATTTATACAAAACAGTTTTAAATATCTAAAGGAAGAAATGTATTCTATATGTCGTCAGACCCAAATTTTATAAATTTGGTTATACATTCAAAAACAACGTGACTTAAAATTTTGTCCAAAAAAATGATTTTTATTAATTCACAAATGTGTGACCTGAGGATTAGAATGTTCATAAAAAAACTTACTGTATTTGGATTAATCTTCGAAGAATAAAAAGTGAAAAACTAGATTTTGACTAGACCTGTCCCAAGTTCATAATTGAAAATGTATTTCCCACTTGGTTCTTTGCTCAAAAAAAATTTACGATGTTTTATTTGTATTTTTTTTTTTGAGCACTAGAATATTTATGCAAAGTTTCAATCCATTTGGATAAACCCTCGAAGAAAAAAGTGAGAAAATTGATTTTGACTAGGGTCGCCCCTAGTCCAAAATTGAAAATGTTCTTTGCTCAAAAAAATTTTAAGATATTTTATATGAATTGACATAATTCTGACATAAATCACATACCAATATTACTTTTTGTAATGCATAGCTTAAAAAAAATCGAAATCTAAAATTTCGACTACCCCATCTGAATTTTGTACATACTCTTCTTTTTGGAAACTAAAAAACAAATTCTTTATCTTAAAATACTTGACAAAATAGCGACATAATTCAGGATTAATTACTTTTTAATAATATTTTAACATTTACGAGAAAATGTGGTTCAAATAAGTGTGAAGTATGGCCGAGATTTGGACCAAAATCAGCTATACTGGTTCATAGTGTTCCCGAGGGTGACAAACTTCAAACTTAGTGTTTTTGTAGCTGACATAATTATAACATAAATTAGGTATAACTTTTGAACTGTGTCGATATGGGTCTCGGCCGTACTTCATGCCCACCCTTCAAACTTATGCTGAGCAAATCTTGGTGTATCCATAAGACTTTTGATGGTACGGTGTGAATATATCCGCATTGTGTTTCTACCCGATACACTAGTTGCTGCTTATAATTGACTATAAGCTCTTTAGAATAAAATATTAATGAAAATTATTTACGGAGTAAAATTAAACAAACTAGAAGAAATATGTAATTTCCGTTAATATTTAAGTATTTTTATCTTTTAATATGTTGGTTTTCGCCTGTTCCATTTTAAATAAACTTTAAGCATTTTGTTTTATTTCAAACTCACAAAAACACTACTTTTGTTTACACCTAAGAACAAAATAGAGGATATTATAAAGTTTGTATGTGTATTTAACATTCTCAATACCACCTGTCATATCATAAATAATTCATGAATTCGTTACATAGCTCTTCGAAAGCGACTTTATTCGAACTTTTCATGCTGAATTGACATTTATGATGTAATTTTGAGTAAAAATCAAATATTAACCATTTTAAATTGGATCATTTTACCTCCATAAAAATCCAATCTTGCAAATAAAATTGACATGATAACATGACGACTAAAATGACAATTTTATGATTGCATGTTTTGTTTTAATTAATCTAATAGGGTAAATACTTTTGAAATTTGTACACTTTTGAAATTTGCACACTCATATGAAAATAAAAAATAAAAAATTTCTCACAAAATATCCACTTCTGATAATACTTTCACAAAATCTTTGTATAATTATTGTACAAATGTTGTTGTACCTTTTCGAATTGTCTGAAGGCACCAGAAAGATGAATTCCTTCAGCGATCAATTTTTCATACAAAACAAATTTTTGCAAAATATAAGGTTTTGGGATACAATCAGTGGCTTTATCAAATATTTTGATATCAAAAAATGTAGTTCTTAAGTTGTTTAAAATTTTGAAAGTATTTCTTTTGTGAAAGAATAAGCGGAACTGCCCAACAAATCACTTTTAAAAAAGCTTGTTTTTCATTTTAAAATTTGCACAAAAATTTGTCGAAACTTTTGAAATTTGCACAGTTTTAAGCGTAGGAGGTATTGAAAAATTCGATGTAAACATTAATACTAATGTAAATTTTTAACCCCCCCCCCTCCCCTCTAAAATGCGAACGTAATAAGTGAATGGCCCCTTATTTAATGATGAATGATAGTAATAAAATCAGCTTAAATGTGAGATATCCATTTCAAGGACTTGATTCTATAGTTTTACATGTTTACTGTTATTAGATTTGAAAATTACCAGATGAAAATATTATTTCTTCTCCCAAAAAAATAAAAAAAAAATAATTGTTTACACCAATTAAATACAAAAATGTCATGTATTGCTATCAAAAATGTGTGCAAATTTTAAAACTTTTTTGTGCAAATTTTTAAAATTTCCATGCAAATTTCAAAAGTCAAAAATAAAACGCTTATATCTCTGCTGATATCCATCGTAGCTTTCAGAAAGAAGTTGCAAATTAAATTTCCACAATTTTCAAAAGCTCAAACGTTATTTTAAGCCTTAACAATAATCTGTTGAAAAGTTCCAAGCAAATGAAATTTTCATGTGCAAAGTTGTGCAAATTTCAAAAGTATTTACCCTAATGAAAATGATTATTTTATTAAATAATGCATTTACATTTTGTTATTATACATATTCACACTATAATTTCCAAATTTATTCTTTTTATTTTCTTTTCATACTTTTGATGGTAATTAGGTTCTAGAGTACCCAAATTCAGTACATGAATAACATTAAACTTTCTCATTATTATCCATTGTTATACATTGAAGCATAACAAAGAGAGGAAGGAAGAAAACGTTTAGAACAATTTAAAAGAAACAATTTCGGTATTTTATATTAGTGTATATCTGCGGTAAAAACTGAAGAAAAATCGTAAGGAAAAGAAATAAATTTTGGGTGAAATTTAAACGATAAAAACAGAACTTTTTTGTTGAAAAGTTAATATTAATAAAAGAATAGAAATAAAAAGAAAAGAAAAAGTACAAGAACACAAAATGTCTGAAGAGGATAAGACAACGTTTGTAAGATACACATTCGGTGATACCGAATTTGTTGTTCCGAAACGATACATTGAGTTAAGTGCAAGAGGAACTGGCGCTCAAGGCATGGTTGTGTAAGTACAAATATTTTCATAAGGAACTTGACTAACACTTCCTTCTCCTTAACTAACTGATCGAATTATGTTCATAATAACAACTCATGATCTGGTGATTGATTATCTATTCTTAGCTTTACTTATTCTATCCTACGCCAACGATTCCTTATTTTCGAACATTAATTCAAATATTTTTTGAATCTATTTATTATACTTAATGAAATTCTTTAAATTTCTTCGAAAAACCTTCCAAACATATTTGAATTGATTTTGATTCAAGGATTACATCATCTCTTGGCATAGCATGGTACTTATCTAGTAACTAACTCGGTTTATGCTTAAAATAGGTAAACGTAAAAGTTTAAACAAAATATTTGTTAGAACAATGCCATTGGTTTGTTAAGATTTCCTTCTGCCATTCTGGATTGATTTTTATTACAATTCAAATTAAGCGTAGAAGTCAAGAGGATGTTAATTATCCTAGTTCAATTAAAAAGTAGGCACTTAAGTTACATTTCATAATTACCACAAAACTTTATAGTACTAGTTCATTTCATAATATATTTTAGAGCATTGTGTGCAGACTGCGTCACTTAAAAACTTCTCTCTTTTCCAATTACATAACAAATCTTTATTATAAATTTTTTTTTAATGCTTAAAAGTCACTATAATCAAGTTTAATATTTAATGAAAACTGAATATTATTTTGACTCCCAGCCAAGAGACATAGAAAAAATAAGAACACAAAATCAATTTTTAGGAGGGTGCTCACAAACAAATAATTGAGCAAACTTGCCATGATCCAATTTCCTTGCCATCTCATTTATTCTCAGCGGACGGAAGAGAAAAGTATCTTTCAGCATTAAAAAAAGATTTTTTTACAAACATGAAAATTGCAAAGTTTTTTAAAGTCAGTGGCTGTTACAAGAATATGGGAGTAGTCATGGCTGATAATGCCAGCTTTTTTGAAATAGTTTACACCTGATGTGTAATTTTTGACGGTGATTCGTGGTGACGGTGATGCTTCATAAAGTTTCAGATATTATGAGGGGATAAAAATGCTTTTTTTTTGTTTGTCTGCGTGTACACACTTAAAGATTAACTAATTTTGCTGCATCTGCTGTACGCTTCTCAAACTATACTCGGAGAAAACATTGCGGGAACTGTAAAGTAATGATTGTTATATGCATGAAAAAAAGGTCATGATGCGAAATTTTCTTAAAGCTTGAGAACCACTGATATAGAGATAATATTATGACTATGACTATGATTTTATTATGTCTTTTGTTTGTATTCATCTATATTGTTTTGCTTGCAGCGTTGGTTTAAAAGGCCTTTTATTTATTTTGTGCTTGAAATGTTTTTCTTTGAAAGTAGCTATAGACAAAAATTAACAATTGCAATAATTTATGAATATTTTCATGAACATCCCTGTAATAATTATATTATTTTTACATTTCAGTGCTGCTTACGATACTGTAACTCAACAAAATGTGGCAATTAAAAAATTATCAAGACCATTCCAAAATGTCACACATGCCAAACGAGCCTACAGGGAGTTTAAGCTTATGAAATTAGTCAATCATAAAAATGTAAGTCTCAACAGCAACTGTTATTTCGATCTTAAAAAATATATAACTTTTAAGATCATGATTTATGAAATATAAAATGACATTTAAGCATTTTCTAAAATTAAGATAGGGGAGGTCTTGAAAAATATGCATGTAATTTAGTCACTTTGGATAAAAAACGCATTTCATATAGGGGCCGTTCAATTATGACGTCCGAAATTAACGGTCATTTTTCAAAAACGAACAATGGATTTCCAGGAATTTCTATTGTTCTTTTCTGTCTTTATTATAACTTATATTCTTATAAAAAAAATTTCAAATTTTCAAAAATATTAATTTACTGCTTGTTATTATTAGATGCATAAAAATGGTAAATTTTGTTGTTTTATAACATATTATTACCAATAAATACTATCTTCAAGCTTAAATACCAAAGAAACAAAAAAAATATTTTCTTTACATTGCACTGTCTTTTATTACCAACTTGAAGCTCCTATAATTTTACTTGAGCTTATCGTAGACTCATGCAGTTTCTAGTGAATGAAAGTACTAAGCTAGACCTTTCCAAAAATGTATAACACTTTTATGAAATTTAATAAGTTTAACCAGAAAAAGCAAAATAAATTCAAGAGGGCGGAGAATTTTGGAAATTTACACACATTTTTTACACGTTTTTAATGATTTCTCATTTGTCGCATACTTTTTTCTAAATTGTTATATATCAATGGAAAGCAATTAAAAAATGAAAGAGAATAAGATAAACAACAAATAATAAAAATGCGCAGTTATCGAGAAAAATTAATTTTAATAGTGAAAATATTCACAAATTGTGTGAATATGATTCAGACTAGGAAAACTCGTGAAAAACCCAATGGAAAATTCTGAAACTTCTACGAGTTATTAACATTTATATAAGCAATAAGTGTGCAAACTTGAAAGTTTTTCATAAAGTCATTGCTGAGAAAAACGAAAAACATTAGAAACTTACATATATGAAATGCGTTTTTTACCCAAAGTGACTAAATTACTTGCATATTTTTTTTTATATTTTTCAAGACTTTTCTAATTTTCATATTTGAAATTTGATAAGCTTTCCAAAAATATTTAACTTCAATAGGTTTCACGAAAAAATAAGGGAGAAATTCGGAAAATACAAAAATTTCTAATTTTGCGTCCACTCGCTTTAAGAGTAATGATTTATTACTCTGATACTATTAGTATCAATTTATGTTTTACGATTTAATCCGAAGCAAATCGTTCTTTGTCAGTATTTTTCAAAGAACTAATCTATATATTATAATATTTTTTCGATTTCCTGTACTAACAATATGTGCTTTGAAATTATTTACAGATCATTGGTTTGTTAAATGCGTTTACACCTCAGCGTACGCTAGAAGAATTTCAAGATGTTTATCTCGTTATGGAGCTTATGGATGCAAACTTATGCCAAGTTATACAAATGGATCTTGATCATGAACGCATGTCCTATTTGCTTTATCAGATGCTTTGCGGAATCAAGCATTTACACTCTGCAGGGATAATACATAGAGTGAGTATTGAATTATACTTTGTTTTTAATAACGAATGGCCGAAAAAAAAAATCATATTCATGCCTGCTGCCCACCCCTAAATTACACAAAAAAAATCATAAATATTTTAATGTATATTTGAACTAAAATCACAAATGCGAATGCTTCGAAAGTGAAAGTATATAAGTTTTTAAGTTGAAATCATGGAGGTAAATTGCAGGTATAAATTCAAAACGACAAAATATGTTTTCAGTCAGTCTTCCTTACCGAGTTAATCTCTCCCTATTACCATCACAATCCTAATTTGTGTACACTTATTCTATCTCCCATGTGGTCCATTTGTATCCATTTCATTTAATTTTTAATATTTTCATTTCTTCGTTATATTATTACAGGACTTAAAGCCATCAAACATTGTGGTAAAGTCAGATTGTACATTGAAAATTCTAGACTTTGGATTGGCAAGAACAGCTGGAACAACCTTTATGATGACACCGTATGTCGTAACAAGATATTATCGTGCTCCTGAAGTGATTCTCGGTATGGGATACAAAGAGAATGTCGATATATGGTCAGTGGGCTGTATTATGGGCGAAATGATACGAGGAGGAGTTCTTTTTCCCGGCACAGATCATATAGATCAATGGAATAAAATTATTGGTATGCAATATCGAAAACAATCCATTAATGAAGAATTAAAAAAAAACAATATTAAAATAAATTACAGAACAACTTGGAACTCCATCACAGTCATTTATGCAGCGACTTCAACCGACAGTAAGAAACTATGTAGAGAATCGACCGCGTTATCAAGGCTACTCGTTTGATCGACTTTTTCCCGATGTACTTTTCCCGAGCGATTCTAGTGAGCATAATCGTTTACGGGCATCACAAGCTCGGGATTTATTAAGTAAGATGTTAGTTGTTGATCCTGAACATCGTATATCTGTTGATCAGGCATTATTGCATAGTTACATTTATGTTTGGTACGATGAGAGTGAAGTAAATGCGGTGAGTTTTTAAAAAAAAAATTCTATGATTCTATTTAATACTAATGCATTTGGGATTTCCTTCATTTATTTTCAGCCTGCACCTGGTCCGTATGATCATAGCGTAGATGAACGTGAGCATACAGTAGAACAGTGGAAGGAGCTTATTTACAATGAAGTTGTCGATTATGAAGGACGTAATCATGGTGAAGAAGGGCCGCGGTAGAAATCAGTAGCGTACTCGTACGCTCAACAACCAAATATTAGATTTGTTTAAAAGAAATTAATTGAAAGTGTGAAAATCTGAAATTTCCTTACGACAAAGAAAATATATGCGAGTTATCGAGTGATAAATACTTTTATTAATTTTGCATAAAAGGAGTGACTAATGTGACTTGTCCCTGACATGAAAAAAAAATAAAAAAAAACCAAAAAAAAAAATTAATGTGCAAATATGGAAAAATGACAATTAATCAACAACAAAACAAAAATTATGAGTGATATCCCGAATAAAAACATAAATTCTCAAAAAGTACATACAACAATGTGAAATAAACTGTGAAATCTGTCGTCGAAAAAAAAAAGATGGATTAATATTATTTTTTCGTAGCGCTTTTGTGGCGAATACAGCACAAGATAAGAAAATAAAAATTTATAATATACACATTAAAAAGGTAATGATGAAAAGATGACAAAGAGAAAAAAAGCGTTTTTGTCATTGCGTGATCCCCGTTCAAAGCACGTAATGTTAGGGAGAAGACATAAAATAAAAATAAAACTTTTTTTCTTCCATATTGTACATAGCGAAAAACAAAAAATTTATTAAATTAAATGCAATTTAAAGAGAGAATCAAGGTGGAAAATATGCTATATTGGAGCGAAAAAAAAAAAAATATTAAGCAGCTAAAAGCTCTCAAAAAATGAGCAAAAAATAAGTAGTGAAATCACAATTATTTAATTAGCTTATTCGTTCCACTTTCTCTATTGTTCCACGTCCACGCTCCACAATTAAATTCGAAAAATTTACGTGGAACTCTAATAAAAAAAAATTGTGAAGAGTAAAGGAAAAAAATAAATATGAATATTTAAATTATTAATTATTGTAATATCTCTGAAAAAAATTAGTAGTGGCATGATGAAGAAATTTCAAGTCAGGCATACATAAAAATACATACATTAATACATACATACATAGACATTACAGCAAGAGAAAGGAATAAGAATTACGTTCTTTATAAAAGAATTAATTGAGACTGTGCAATATGATGATAAAAAGTTGCTAAACTTTATTATGATGATGGAATTTGATTTGCTACAAAGGCTTTCCTTTTTATCTTCTTGTTGCTACTAATGAAAGTTCAATAAGTTTAGTCTAATAATTGTATTTTGTAAAGAAAAAGATGTATTTATAGCTGGATTAACTTATTTCGATGAGCTGTTTTTGGTGTAGTTTTTTTTTCACAGTAAATTTTGCAGATTTTAGGGAAATATTTAAAGTGTTCTGTATTAAAAATATCCGAAATTTCATCTAATATGAATCTGTCAACAAGATTAAATTACAAGTACATCAAGCACTTCCTAATTCAGCAAAAATAGCACATCAGTCAAATGAGCACCAGGAAATACATTTGTAAAATTGCTATAATAAACTCACATTATGCATGACTATTGCATTAAATATTATCTCATGAAAATTAAATCAATAAAATGTAATAAAAATATTGTTATTGAATTAAAGTTCAACAGCATAAAGTAGTTTAGTTTCCTCGCTCCTGTCACTAGAATGTGTCTACATAATTTATATTCTATGTCAGAAATGAATTTCTCATCTACTTTAATCATCATCTAAATCTATGCATTTACTTCTTTCTTTCATCCAACCTTAACAAAGTAAACGAGGGTTTTCTGATGCCAGTCTTAAGCATTTTATACACTTTTCTGTTTATTACACAATGTAAAATTGAGGACAAACATTTAAAAAACTTATTCAACTGTTTTTGAAAGTTGCAAGTTTTGTAATTTTCATTTTATTCTCCTTTTTTTTTCTATCCTATAACTATCTCCAAGTTGAAAAGAATCAACAAACAAAATAAAAATGAGAATTACATCAAACACAAAAATTATGTAAAATACGTATAAATATTTATAATATGGTAGATCAATCATAAATTGTTAGAGTGAAAGAAAGAAAAGCTGGAGAAAAAAAGCTCCTAGATAAAAATTTTACTATAGAAATTATATTGGAATGAGCAGAAATCGCAGAAAGTTTATCATCGGTACCGTTCGAAAGTATTTGAGGATAAAAATTAAAAATTTTTCTAGTAATCAACAAGATTTTCTCACGAATTACTACTAAACTATTTGCCTTCAGACTAAATAATTGATTTTTTTTTTAAATATCCAACAATGTAGTAATCTTTTCCTGAGGACTGATGTTACTAACTTAATATGATCGTTAATGAAGTTAACTTCTGAATTTTGAGCAATACAAAAAAATTATTTTTTCCTAGACTGAGGAGCACGTTGCTTTCTTAACCTTAACGGAATATAAATTGTGTCTTGTGAATATTTTTAAAGCGGACACAAAATACTTTCAAGCTTGAAATGTAATTTTTCATGTCTCTGTCCTTAAAAGATCGAAGACTCTCTTTTTTGTATTTTTTTTATACTTAAAATTTCTGTTCTGGTCTATAAGTGACATCTAGCAGAAAATGAAGTAGATCGTTGGACACTTTAAAACGCTGCACATCGTTAATGGAAATACCACATAATCTTAAAATTTTCTTTCTCGAGTGATTCTTTAAATCAGTGTATTCCAAACCCTTGGATTGCAACTTATTATGGATTAACCGATTATTGCAAAACAATTTTGATACTTGACAAATTTCAATTTATTTTCAAAATGACAATGCGGACTTGAAATCGTGAAATGCTGGCTGTTAATACAGACTTACTTTTGAGTCAAATTTTTTTTTGCGGTACACCAAAAAAATTAGATTTAATTTACTGCAGAAAATGAGTTTCACGATCTAAAGACATCTTTCAATTTTTATTAACATTAAAGGCTTTAACAAGCGTTCAACCAAGTTCATGGAAGCAATGCATTTTTTTGCAAATATAAAATGATTTTTTTTGAATTGTTCAAGTTGAGAAGGTCATTCGTACATAATTCAAAGTTAATGTTATCATTAATATTATGATGAAAATTCATAAATCGAAGAAGAATATAAAAGGTAATTTATTGAATTTTCTTTTTTTTTATCTCCCTTACACTATCAAAAAATTACGCAAAACACAATTAAAAAGCTTAAACCATCTTGAACATTTAAAATTTTATTGTGAAAAATCTAGGATCTAGATATTCATAAAAAGGATGCACATATTCTCATTCACAAAAACGTAAGAGTAAAACACTGCACATTTTTAAATGATATAAAAATAAACAGGTTGAGAAACGTCCATAAGTAATAACATTATTAAAATTAAAATTAAACATTCTGTCTGTTCTGTTTATTTTTTTATGAGGAAACAAATCCCGAAATTATTTGTAATACAGTTTTCGTTTAATATATGAAAGATTATGTGATTTATAAGAAGTTAGAAGGATTCAACTGACAATATGACTGATCTCAGAAGTTTAAAATTCAATGGATTTTCAGGGTGTGAAAACATTTTGAATTCTTGGAAACTGCTATATTTTTGATTCAAGTTCTGATCCGCATTAAACTCTGGTATACTTTTATATATAGATCAATATAATATTAACTGCAATTTCCATCCAAGCTCAAAAAACGGATTTTTAAAAGAATGATGAGAAAAATGGAAATATATCTTTAAGAAAAATGATATGAAACTGTTTAGATTCCTTTCTCTTCGTAAAGAATCCTTTTCTTAACATGAAAATAAATAATAAAATATTTAACTTCCGCTTCAAGCTTCTTCTTTTATGAAAAAATGCATAATTTAATAAAAAAAAATGGTATGAATGATATTAAGAAATAAGGAAAAAGGAAAAAGAAAGAAAGGCAAATTATTGATTTTTTTTTTATATTCACACCGTTTTCACGTGTGAATCTATTGGTTTTGTTCAGATTGAAAAATCAGTTTTTCGCATTTTGTGAGAAAACGAAGCAAAATTGGTAATAAAAGGTCACAGAAGAAAAGTTTGAGCCTGAAATTTCACATCATTTTCAAAAAACAGATTTCAAATTGGTTGCGGCATTGCTAAGAAAATCGCAAAATACGCTTTCTGTAAGCAAACAAGTAAGCAAGCAAGCAAATTAATCAGCAAGAAATCTCAATAACGAGACATCGTAGAGACTTCTAGTTTTTTACATTTGATCCGTGCTGCTCTATAGAAGAGCTGTATTGTTTTTGGGCAAGGTAGGAACAGCCGTTGCTTCAGAAAAAGCAAAAAACTTTCCTTTCTTACGAATTTTTTAAAACAAAAGTTGACTGTGATTTTTATAAAATTCAACTTTGGATGAAAAATTTTTTTAAAAGACTTAAAGAATGTTTGTTAAGCTTTAGACTTTCAAACTTATGCTGAGCGAAGCTCAGCTGACTCGCTAGCTTTATACCATCAAACTGAGCAAAGCTCAGCTGACTCACTAGCTTTATATCTTCAAACTTATGCTGAGCGAAGCTAAGCTGACTTGATCTATCCATAAGACTTTTGATGGTACGGTGTGAATATAATCCGCATTGGGTTTCTACCCGATACACTAGTTAAAAAATATGTTTATGTGTGTATCTTATTCGTTGCCCTTAAAGGCAATATTTTACTGCTCTCACTTTCAATATCATCAAAGTTAAATTTATTTCTCAACTTTTCGTTTTTTTTATAATTTATTGAGATGAATAAAAAATTTAAATTAGTTCATAATCACGAATAAAAAAAGACGTAATTATTTTGAAGCTGAAAAAATAAATAATTAAATGATTAGAAAATTTTTATGAAATCATGAAATAAATAATGGTATGCAACATTTCCCTTCTGTATTTTTATTATATTAAAAACATAAATTGATATTAATGGAAGACAATTTTGTCTTGCCGCGTTCGTGAAAATTAATTACTGAAATATTATTAAACAATAGGTTCTTTATAATCCTCTTTAAATTTTTAATCATTAAAAAGAAAAAAAAACCACATCAAAAAAATAAGGAGAAAAAAAATTCTTACTTAATACTAGATGCATTGAGAACTTTGCAGATTTTTGATCCGCTCTTTTTTGGTTAAAGGATTTTGAGATTCAAATATTTTGACCGATTGTCGAATGAATGCCAAAAATAAAACTTTGCTGCTTCAAGAACAGCATCCAGAAACTTCTGGCATTTTTGTAAAAATGTAAAGCGACGCCTAGCATATGGTCAGACACTACATTAATGTTCTAATTACATCAGAATCTTTTTTTGCAATCTAAAAAGACCATTTTGCCTTAAAATCAAATTTTTCAAAATTGTGGAAATTTCTCTCATGCATCTTGACTTAATCAAACTTTCTTGATGATTAATAAAGTAAGAAAGTAGCGAAGATGAATAATTTTAAATAAAATAAGTATGATGATATGAAAGATAAACAATTATACTTGATGAATGAGTTAAGGAAGATGAAAAAAATAAATAAAATTGCGTAAAATAAAATGCAAATAAAAAAAAAAGATGAATGAACTTTACAGTTTATAAAGTAGCATAAAAATTGAAAAATAAAATAAAATGAATGTGAATAAAGAAATAAGGCGAAAAAAAGAAAAAAATCAAGTCAAAATTACAAATTGAATTGCATAAAATGTCACATGAATGATGAATATGGAATAAAAGATGAAGAAAAATTAATAAACAAAAAAATATTTATCAAAAGAAGTGTGTGTTCTTGATTTTTTTTCTGCTATTGTTTGTGATTTTTGCAGAGATCGAAGCCAATTTTTTCGGCTTAACTCAATTTTTGATTTTTTTGATAGAAAAAAGCCATTTAACACCCATTTTAAGTATTTAAATTGAACTTTACATGCTTTACTATGATTCTGTGAAATATTTTTTCAGCATGTAGCTATAGTGAGCTCAGAATTTCAAGTTAAAGAATGTTAAGCCGAAATTTAAGCCGATCGGCTTAAAATCGGCTAAATTGAAATTCAGAGCTTACTATAGCTACATGCTGAAAAAATATTTCACAGAATCATAGTAAAGCATGTAAAGTTCAATTTAAATACTTAAAATGGGTGTTAAATGGCTTTTTTCTATCAAAAAAATCAAAAATTGAGTTAAGCCGAAAAAATCGGCTTCGATCTCTGGATTTTTGCATTGGTTTCTTACTAGGGGAGCAATTAGGAACATTCTAAAATTACTTAATCTGATTATTTCAAACATTCCTCATCGCACTGCGATGCGCCTATTCATATTTACGATAATTGATCTATTTTGCTCTTTTTCAGATGTCCACATATGTGAGCTCTATTTACCAGTTTCTTTGATGAAATTTCCTTTTACAGAAATCTCGGAAAATGTTTTTTTTTCACCACTTGATCACAAAAACTAAGCGCTTTTCCGGAAAGAAGCTAATTTTTTGAAGCCACAAATTTAGTGACTCTAAGGCTGTCAAAGTTATAAAAACCTAAGAAAAACTGGTATTTTCTTTAATTTTTTTGCTGCACCAGAGAAACTGGATATTACATTGTAATTTATCTTGTAGTACTATTAAGAGCTTTATAAAAACACCTCACATCCTCCTGCACTTTTGAAGTCAAGAAAATCAACTTTTATGGAACCTATTTTTCTATGCTCCATATCTCAAAATTGAGACCATTTTCTGGAAATTAAAGAATAATTTTTAATTTTCGATTTTTTTTGACCAGCTACGGACTGCTACAGACGATGAATACCAAAAGAAAAAAGTCTTTTTTTTTTAAATTAAACTTTTTATTTATTTACATTTAAATTTAAGTATGTACAAAGTTTCTATAATTTGTGCTTTTAACTTTTTCCAGTTTGCATTTTTGTAGTCATATCTGTAGACTGTATTTTCGGTTCTATCGATTTTTGATGTTTTGATTTGGAAAAAAACAGCGCAGTGATCACTCATTTCCTCTGTGCATTGAAGTTCTGTTGTTTCGAGGTTGGAATTCGAGAGCATCAGGTCAATTGTTGACACTGATTTGTTTCGATCTTCTGGGTAGTACGTTGATCTCTCAGATTTGTTATTTTGTTGATGTCATCTCTCAGATGTTGATCTATTTCCCCTCTTTTGCTTCCTCCTGGGAGATAGACTGAGAGAATGTGAAAACTATCCGTGTCATTGATGAAGACTTTGATTCCAATGCATTCCATTAGTTTTGTGTTCTAGCTTGGTTGTAGCTGATGTTTTAGATTTCTTTTGACGATGATTGCAACACCACCTTTTGGTCTATCCACGCGATCCAATCGATGAATTACGTAGTCTGGATGTGAGTCAATTTTTGAGTTTGGTTTAGGAATGTTTCTGAGATGCAAGCAACATCGACGTTTTGCTTGCTTAGGAAGTCGAGGAATGATAACATTTTGTCAGTGAGGCCTTTAGCATTCCAGTAGAGGACGTTGATACTTTGTTATCTACAATCCATTATGGTATGTGGTGTTTTTGGCGTTTGAGCCGATTGCTTGGAGTATTTCGTCGATGAACTCTGGATTTTTGGCGATTAATTTAAGTAGCTCGCTGATGAGGTACTTGCACTTTGATTCCTCTATTTCTGAGATGTTTTTATCTCTTGTGCTGGTGCTTTGAGCTTGTTGATTAGTTGTTATGTTTCGATTCACTACCTCAACACTGAATGAAAGTTCTGAGAAACTTCATTCGAGGTCTGACTTGTTGGACTGATGTCTTCTGAGTCCATAAGCTCAACATCTTGCTTTGGTTTTTGATGTTGATTGTTATTAATGCGCTCGCTTTGCTTTTTTCTTTGATTCTTTTTCCAATGTTTTCCTCTTTCTTTATTGTTTTGTTGGTTGTTCAAGTTATTTTTAATTTCCTTGATTTGAGGGTTTGTGATTTGGAGGAGGATTTATGTTCCTTGGTATGTGGTTGACTGGAGCTTGTTTTTGATGAGCAGGCTTTTGTGTACTAGATGTTGATGGTTCCACATTCTTCTTTCTCCATTGAGGTTTTGGTGCATGTTGGACGTTTCTGGTTGATTGCTCAGGAAGATGCGGAATTGGAGGATTGTTTCTCCGTTGTCCAAGTTGTCCATATGAATAATGGCCTGCTGTTTTGCTTGATTTCGGTTGTTTCCATTCTGTGATTTTGATTTCCACTTTTCTATTATTTCTTGTCTGGTTTTACAACCTGTGAAAATTGCTGTATGTTTTTCACCGCAGAAGAAACATTTGAGTTTTCCGAGTGGAACCTTGTTGGTCTCTTTCGATATGTACTGGCACGTTTTCGAGTCATGTTGCTCAGAGCATCTGAAGCAAACGGATGGTTTGTTACAACCATTTTGTCCATGACCAAACTGCAGACATTTCGAACATTGAGATGATCCAGCTTGTCTATTTTTGTAGTCAGCCCATTTAATTTTGAAACTGCTGACAATTTTGATTTTTATGAGAAATTCCAGGAAATTTCCACCTTGTTCTACATCTTTTTTGAAGTACACGAGGTAGTTCTGGTCGTCGTCTTGTTCGTGTCTTTGTCATTTTGACAATTTTTACTGGTGTGATTTTTATCTTGAAATATGTGATGACTATTAACTCCATGTGAAAAAATTTTTACGTGCGTGCAATCAATTGCTCCAACCGCTGTTGGAAATTTGGACATCGTATAAAATCCAGTAAAATTGTTTTGCAATTCTCATTGATTTCTAGGCATAAATATGTAATTGCGCGATAAAGAAGCTATTGCTTTAGAAGTTTCATTAACGATCCTAGACATAGATGCAACACTTATTCCTTATAAATCCCCAATTGTTTGCAGAAAAGTTCCTGTAGCATAAAACCGTAAAGTACTGTACAGTTTTACTTTTGCCTCAATTGCATGGGATCTGAAAATATACATTTTAATTTGAGCTGGCTTTAATACTATACATTTCTTACCTTTGAGTTGTAGGTGCTATTAAAGGCTCTATTGCGTTTAATAATTCCATAAAAGAAATTTTACTGACACGAAATCTTGAAATAAATTCAAGATCGTCCAAAGTTTCCATGAAATCTACACGTTCACGAAATCTTCTTTCTTTTAGGATTATCCACTTTAGTGAAAACGGCTACGGTTTGAAATTCCTTCTCCAACTCACTGATTTCCATATCTGGGAGTCCATAGAGTACGTACTTCTTCAGTGGTTCTTGACTGGAGTATGTGTGGAAGTAATGCTTTTTGTCTTTGAGAAGTTGGATGAATTTCTCGTAGTCATCCCAACTCTCCGTTGTTACTGTTTTTGTTCCTTGTTTTCCCTTTTTGGTCTCAATTAAGAAACTTCCAGGTTGATTGTTTATTTCATAAGTCAACCTCTTGATTGACCTGTGCTGATGACAATTAGAGGTGGTTTTGATTTTTGTTGTTGTTGCTTTCCGTGTTTACGGAAATTGTCTTTTGTTGCTCTGATGTTTTCTCCCCAGTACGATGGAGTTGTCGATCTTTTTGTCTCCTGTTCTGGTGAACCAAATAGATACGGTACTCCAGAAGACAAAGCCAGCGATGTATGTATTGAGAATTTTCACTGAAGATGAATGTTGTTGAGAACTATTAAGTCCACGCTGATTTTGAGAAAGATTTTCTTCGTTGTTGGTAGTTTTTGTTGATTCTACCATTTTGATGTTTTGAGAATCAAACTGAGATTTTGAAACGTTTTGCAAACAAAAAGCTTCTCAGGTAATCTCTGTTTTGTTTCTTTTGAGATTTTTGAATAATTTGCGGAGCGATTTGTAAACACGTCTGGTCACTTTGAGATCTAGTTTGCAACTGTTAAAGAAACTCACATTACCATCAATAGTCTTATGTATAGACCACGATTTGCTCAGCATAAATTTGAAGGTATGAAGCTATCTTGCTCCATATCCTCACAAAATTCAAATATGTTTGAAGGTTTAAAGCTTAACGAACATTCTTTGAAAGATTTTTAAATTTTTTTTTCATCCAAAGTTTAATTTAAAAAAAATCACAGTGAACTTTTGTTTTGAAAAATTCGTAAGAAAAGAAAGTTTTTTCACAAACTTTTCATCTCTGAACATTTTAAGCTATCTTGCTCCATATCCTCACAAAATTCAAAAAACTGATTTTTCAATCTGAACAAAACCAATAGATTCACACGTGAAAACGGTGTGAATATAATTATTCAACGGTTTTAAATTTTTTGAAGTTCTGCAGTCGATAGTTTGTTTACAAACAAAAATGAAAATATATTTGAGTAGTTATGAAAACATCAACTAAAACAGATTTTAGAGCTTCTGAAATATTTAAAATAGCTTTTACATCAAATGTTTTGCTTTGTTAAGCCATAAATTTTGTGTTAGGTGTAATAATACGTACGGTATTAGCAAAATAAACTACGGAAAGTAATAGGAAGTTGGAAGCAAAAAAATTTCTAAATTAGAACCAATTTAAGCCTCCTAAATTAATGCACAGAAATTAAAAATGGATGGAGATAAGAGCAAAATAGAACCAATATTTAAATATTTACGCATAGCTTCAGACTTAAAAGATATTTTGAAGAATGACTCAGTTTCGTGTATAGCAGCCACTAGTAAATTAATATTGATTGGAACAAACTGGGGAAAATTGTACATTCTGGATCACGAAGGAAATGCAATTAGCGACCAAAAGTTCCCAAAACATATGGTCTCAATCAATGAGATATCTGTTGATTCGAAGGGAGAGTATATAGCCACTTGCAGTGATGATGGAAAGGTAAAATTCATATACATCCTCTTGATTTACTTTACTATTACTTACAGTGAATCATTAATTTTAGATCCATATAAATTGTCTCTACTCGATCGAAAACAGTATTTATTTTAATCTAGAACATCAAGTCAAGTGTATTCAACTAGATCCAGATTATGAAAGTAAACGACGATTTATTGTTGGCGATCATCAATTAAAATTGTATGAAAAGACTTTGTTGCGAGGCATTAAGCCATCAATCTTGTGTGAATCGGAAGGAACGATAAATACATTAAAGTGGAATGGACCGTTTATAGCATGGGCAAATGCTATTGGTGTTAGAGTCTACGATACATATGAGAAATGTTCATTAGGACTGATCAAATGGGAAGAACCAAAGCAAGGCAAACTCACAGATTTTCGATGTAACTTGTTATGGTCAAACGCAACATTGCTTATAGGATGGGCGGAAACTATAAGAATTTGTATGATAAGAAAAAGAAATGTCATGGAAATGTCGACCAGATCTCTTCCTGGATATATTATTGATCCAATATCAACATTAAAGATGGAAACTTATGTTTGCGGACTAGCTCCATTAGAAAAAAACCAATTAGTTGTTTTAGGACTACCAAAAGAAAAAGACCAAGAAAATGTCTCTCCACGACCCGTATTATGTGTCATCCAGTATAAATGCAATGAGTATGAAGAATTATGCACTGATAGCTTGACATTGACAGAGTAAGTCATGATTCGGTTTATTCTAAATTTTCCATTACTCAATGTTTGTTCTCATTACACACAGTTATGAGCATTATTCATCAAATGACTACAGTTTACAATGGCTGACTGACGAAAATAAGTACTTTTTAATCTCCCCAAAGGATATCATTACTGCGTCTCAATATGATACCGACGATCGAGTCAAATATCTGATAAATCATGAGTAAGTAAATTTAACGGACTTTACAAATTCAGCCTTTCTTGACCTGACTTGACTTTAGTAGGTATGGGTGCGAAAAGTACAGAAACTTCATAAAATTCTGTTTTTTTGTTTCTGGATCTTGGTAAATCAGTGCATTGTATTTTTTTTTAAATAATTAACAGCAATTTAAAAACTTCAAAATTGTTGTTCATCACAAGAAAAAATTGTCAGTCAATCACTGACAAAGACGAGACATCAAAACATTGTTTATAAGCTTATAAAAGTATTTTTTGATGATAAAAGTTGAAATTGGTTAATATAAATGATTAAATACATCTCGGATGATAAGACAAATATGAGAACAAGAAATCGGAAGAAGTATATCAAAATCATGCAGTTCTTAAGTGCCTTCTTGTGCGGTATAATAATTAGTGAATTATACGGAAGATATAAGTGTGACTTAAATAACGTCGATGAAGTTGATAATAACAATTATTTGTTACTTAATTTAGTTCTTTCGGCACCAAGAAATTTTGAAAGACGTGATGCTATGAGAGAGACATGGCTTGGTTTGAGACCGTGGCAAATTAACGGCACATCATATCAAGATGATATGATTATTATTCCCAAAGTTCAAACGAATGGATTTTTGGAGCATGAATCTATTGAGCAACAAGAAAAAGTACTGAAAAATTTTCAAAAGTGGTTTCCAAGTAGCAAAAATACGAACTCTAAAGAGCCAAACTTAAAAATAAAGACACTATTTGTGGTCGGAATCAAGGGCTTAGACAAGAATGTAGCGAAAAAAATTAGAGCGGAAAGTAAAGTTTATAATGACTTGTTGCTGCTCGAAAATCTTCAAGACTCATATAAAAATCTCACATATAAATTACTTCTAGCCCTAAATAAATTAAATGTGGTCACACCCAATTTTAACTATCTTTTAAAATGTGATGACGATACTTATGTTAAATTAGACTATCTAGCACTAGATCTGATACAATACGATATAAAATTAAAAGAGGAAAGACGAAAGGATGAATCAGTAAAGAATCTCGGCCTTTATTGGGGATTTTTCAATGGACGTGCAAGTGTTCAGAAAACTGGACAATGGAAGGAAGTAAATTATGATCTATGCGATAGATATTTGCCATACGCATTAGGTGGAGGATATGTGTTATCAAAGAACCTTGTTGAATATTTAGCTTCCCAATACAATGTGCTCAATCGATATGAAAGTGAAGACATTTCAGTTGGAACTTGGCTAGCGCCTTTTAGACACATCCATAAAAGACATGATCCTCGATTTGACACGACTTATATACCGCGAAAATGTCAAGACTATCATCTTGTGCTTCATAAAAGAACTGCCAATGACATGAAGGAAATTGCCAAAGGAAATCTGTGTTTTAGTGAAGTTTCTTATGAATCTAAACGGCAACCTGCTGAATATTTTTATAATTGGTTTCAAAGTCCGTCAAAATGTTGTGATAGAAATCTTTAAATAATTTTAAACCTGTAAAAAATAAGTTAAGGTAGCTGTCTTAATTTTGTATTTTAAGAATCATTTGGTTAGGGTTTCTGAAAATTTATGGGGATAATGTATTACAATCGAAAATATCGTAGATTACCCAAGCATTTGCAAAAATAGAGTCGCCGAACGTGGGGCTCGAACCCACGACCCTGAGGTTAAGAGCCTCATGCTCTACCGACTGAGCTAGCTCGGCATAATGTATTGATGGATTTTTGATGCGAAATTCTTTATTTTATTTGGATATTAAAAAAAAAAATTTTTTTAAAAAGTCGTTAAAATTTTAATTTCTGTTCAAACGCATTTAACTAGAATGCATAATACATTTTTCAGAAACTCTCTCATATATTAATTAATCGAATACGATCATCAATTGCTTCCAATTAATTCAATGTATTCTATTCTTTTTTTCAGTCAATATGAGAAAGCGTTAGATGTGATCAGGGAGAAAGGAGGAAAGTTTTCGATAATACAAGTTGCTCGTCTCTACGTCGACTTTCTCTTAAACCACCAGAAATATGAAGAAGCAGCTAAATTATGTCTCGATACGTTTGGTAATAATAAAGATTTATGGGAGGAGGAAGTCTACAAGTTTGTAAAAGTCAAGCAACTTCGATCAATCAGCTCATTTTTACCGCGTACAGAAGATTGTAAATTAAATCCTCAAGTTTATGAGATGGTGCTTTATGAATATTTAAAATTTGATAAAATGGGATTTTTGCAGTTGATTAAGGAATGGCAACCGTATCTTTACAATACAACAGCAGTCATAAAAGTCATTGATGATTTAGAATATGACAAGAAGGATAAGAAAATTTTGCTTGAAGCTTTAGCAATTCTTTATTCGCACGAGAGGAAGTACAATTACTCATTAAAAGCTTACATTCAATTAGAGCATAAGGACGTATTTCAGTTGATTAAAACTCACAAGCTATACAGTTCTATAAAAGGAATGATCATTGATATTATGAATCTGGATAATGAGAAAGCCATCAGCATATTACTCGGACAAAATGACATTACACCTGCTGAGATTGTTGAGCAATTAGAAAAAAACGAGAATTTCTTGTACCAATATTTGGATGCATTCAAAAAGGTGGACATGACTGGGAAATTTGATTGGAAACTTGTTAATCTTTATGCAAAATATGATCGTGACAAAATGCTACCTTTATTGCGTAAATCCTGGAGTTATCCACTTCAAGATGCTTATGAGCTATGTAAGACTAATTTATTCTTTCCAGAAATGGTTTATTTGTTAGACAGAATGGGAAATACTAAGGAGGCACTCGAGATAATTTTGAGGCAGATCAAAAATATTCGGATAGCTATTGTTTTCTGTAGTGAACATGATGATATAGAATTATGGGAATATTTGATCAATGAAAGTATTGAAATGCCTGAAATTATCACATTGTTGATGGACGGATTGTCAACTTATTCTCTTGATCCTCTCATCATCATAAATCGTCTTCAGGAAGGACAGAAAATCCCAGAACTTAAGAGTTCACTTATTAAAATGCTTACTGGATATAGTCTTCAGGTATAATTCCAATTTTTTCAAATTCCGATACATTTTATTTTTCAAAAATGCGCTAAAAATTTAATTACTAAATTGTCCTTTTCTTGTTACTTTAGGTCTCAATCCACACTGGCTGTAATGAAATTCTGAAAACTGATTACTTCGAAGTACATAGTAAATTAATTACTGTTCAAAATAAGGCATCATCGATTGAAAATCAGTCAGTTTGCTGTCTATGTCATCGAAACATCATTGGATTAAAAGATGCAAATAAATCGGATGTTGTTATTGTTTTCAACTGCAAGCATATGTTCCATGAAAGCTGTGTTAGTGAAAGATTTGATCTTGATTGCTGTTCAATTTGTATTCCGACAAAAGCACCTTAGTTATCAAATTCCATTAAAAATTATTATTACCATTTGTGTTATGCTTTCTGTAGAGTCTAAACACAGTTTAAATATACTTTAATATAATCAGTCGTTTTATTCGACTCTTATCTACTTAAATATCTATTTAAAAAGTGACCGTTATTTATCCGCTCAATCAAGCTTCATCCCCTCGATCTTAACGCAGCTTCAGACCCCTACATTCCACCTTAACTTAAAAAAAAGAAAAAAAATAAAAAAAAAGAAAATTAGTCAATTACTACGATTTATCTTTATAGAAAACCATTTATGCATCCATCTCCTCTCAAGAGGTTTTTCCTGGCAACACAGTCCTTCATCAAGTCCAGCTCCAAAAATTCAAAACAATTAGACTCCACTGTATCTCTTGCACATTCAAAGCCACATTGCCGAATTCCACTCATGTACAAGTTGACCAGTTTGTATGTGAACCCCCTTGGCCGCAACTATAACGAACTCCATACGCACAAGCCTTTTTCCTCACATACATTCAGTTGTCTCCCTTCAGTGAATTCCTCACGACAAACTTCAATACCCTTCAACGACAATCCATATTAGTATAAAGGCCTACGACCTTCATGATTCTAGCGATGCACAGCCTTTAATCAATCATGGCACACTCCCATGCACAAAGCCGTTCCAATGATAACCCTTTAATGACGACTGATTGAGACTCTTTCCTAACATATCTCTACCTCCTTATCAACTTTATAATTCTTTCCAATATGTGATGAATAATCTTAATAGATAAATTCATCGTTTAGGAACTAATCCTTGCCAAATACACCATGTAACCCTGTCAACCTCATCTTGCTTCACCCAGCATATCACTACTAAAGTCTCACTCGACTTGCTCTCCTCACCCACAATCAATCATCTAACTATATTGTCACCACCTTTGACTCTATTAATTCTCTCTCTCAGCGAACATAGTCATCGCCTTGATTGAATCAATCACACTTCCACAGACACACTCAAAATCACTCAGATACCAACGTTCAAACTTAATACAATCAGTTCTATATAACCCTCTCCATTGTGCAACTCTCTCATTGCACCAGGTATATTTTCATTGAACTCCACTTGTTCCAATCATATCAAGCGTTTGAAACTCCCTGCAATGAATTTAATCATTGCCAAAACTCATTTCTATAGTTTCCGTATTATCTCAATTCGAACTATGTTCTACAATCTAAACATTATGACATAATTCTATGCAGTGAATTTAATCATTGCCTAATCGTCATGCATTGAACATATTGATTACCGTTGAATTTAATCATTGCCACATCCTGCAGTGAATTTAATCATTGCCAATCCTTGCAGTTAATTTAATCATTGCCACAACTTGCTGTGAATTTAATCATTGCCACATCCTGCAGTGAATTTAATCATTGCCAATCTTTGCAGTGAATTTAATCATTGCCACAACTTGCAGTGAATTTAATCATTGCCAAACTCTGCAGTGAATTTAATCATTGCCACAACTTGCAGTGAATTTAATCATTGCCAAACTCTGCATTGAATTTAATCATTGCCACAACTTGCATTGAATTTAATCATTGCCACATCCTGCAGTGAATTTAATCATTGCCAAACTCTGCATTGAATTTAATCATTGCCACAACTTGCATTGAATTTAATCATTGCCACAACTTGCATTGAATTTAATCATTGCCACAACTTGCATTGAATTTAATCATTGCCACAACTTGCAGTGAATTTAATAATTGCCACAACTTGCAGTGAAATTAATCATCGCCTCTTCTGTACATACTTAACTACCACAACATGAACCCTTTTTGGCTCCTTTCTTATTCCAGGTAATTCAACTACAATATAAATAATTACTGATTAGTTTATGCTTACTAGCTAGATAATCTCATTTGACTCTTCCTTTAAGCCCATTTCTTTTCGTAATCATTTTAAGATTCGAATAGTTGCTTGTATTTTCTTTGCAGGAAACTTTTGAGATCTTCTTGAGAAACATTTGACACATAAAGCTCTTTTTTCTCTCTGATCATTTGCCGATACCATTGCTTCCTCTTCCCATAACTACATTTGTTTCGGTTTTAATCTCTAGTGCTTGATCATGATTCTCGTCACACAAAATAAATGTATTTTTGTAAGATTCACTTACTAAGCCTTGCAATTACAAAAATCCATTACGTCTTAATGTTGAAGGCGGCATATTGATAGCTAAGCTCAACTGATCTAATTGCCCTTTTTTTAAAAATGCCTAATAATTGTGGCTTGAGCCGGTTTAACTTTCATGTCTAATTTCTTGTCATTTATTTCAATTTCAATGTTTAATGGTGTTTCCTTTATATTCCTATATATATAATTTAAGCATTGGCCAGAATTGTGAGGATACAATTAAGGCAGACACTGCTGGATCATTAGGTGTTGCCTTTGATGTGAATGTACCACATTCGAATCTCAATTTAAGAAGTTCCAAATTTCTGATTTCCTTTTCTCGATTAAAATCAAATTATGTAAGAAGACGATCCAGCTAATAGATTCCAAATATCAACAATCATCGGAATATTGTCTCATCTACGGTTTTGTGCTGAGTTATTATCGCTAACAAGGGCATCAACTGGATCTGAAGTAAAATCTTGCCAATTATTCATTTCATCTTGATTCTGTTCATTTTCTTCAGCTTTGATTGCTTCACTTCTTGCAAGTTCCTCTGAAAAGTCTAAAGGAGTTTCTTCAATTAAACTTGTTGCTACATATCTTACTGTATCCTGTCGACATTTCCTTAAACACTCTTCTATTGGCCAAGTTACAGTTTGAAGAAGAATTCCACTTTTCCTCATGATGCCTCATAGTCTTATTTGTTGCTACTTATCCAGTTATTATGTCACTAGTTTCAACTTATGTGTCTTTCCTTCTTTTTTTAAGCGTATTTTTATTTTCGTGTACAATGTGTTTTTTTTTTAAATTTTACTTTCACGATTTCCACTTGTCTGTCACTTTAATCCCATTTCCTCGAATTCGCTTTGATTCCCACGACAGTTCTGCTAGTCGCAGCGCCAAAATGTAGAGTCTAAACACAGTTTAAATATACTTTAATATAATCAGTCGTTTTATTCGACTCTTATCTACTTAAATATCTATTTAAAAAGTGACCGTTATTTATCCGCTCAATCAAGCTTCATCCCCTCGATCTTAACGCAGCTTCAGACCCCTACACTTTCGAGTCACATTCATGCAAAAAATTATATTTTATTATTAAATTAATTAAGTTTGTGTTTTTTAATGAATCAAACGAAAAATGACTTAATAAATACTGAAAAATGTTATGTATTGTAATCGACAAATCATGCTTGACATTCTATATAAATAATTAATCTCAAAGTCTTAGATTTTATTTTCTTTTAAATTGAAAATATGAAATTCAACACAAGTAAATCTCACAAGCATTCACAAAATATGAGTTACTTCTTGTTAAGTAATATTTTAGTCTCGGGTATCGTTCTCTGCAGTTCTCTGCTCTTGTTATCTGCAGGCAATAACAAATTTTCATTTAATTTATTAACAGCCAGCAGTACGTTGCCATTTATATCAAAATCCTTTATTTTTCTTTTCCGTCTATAAGTGCTCAGCTTTACTATTGGAACTGCCATTAAAATAATAAAACCAATGATGCATTGTATAGCTCCTATCGCTTGTCCTATTTGTGGCATTCTAAGAACAAGTTTAATTTCATCCGCGATACTTTTACTCATTTTGACATGTTGTTCGAACCACAGAATCGGCATGAACTTCTTCTGTACGTCCCGATACAATCCTATTGATGGAATTGGTTCGATAAGGAGATTTATTTGAAACCGAGCAGCAACCTGAAGTGGTATTGCTGATTTCTATGTAAGGTTTGTGGAAGAAAAAGAAGATGACATTTAGTATGAACATGATGTTTCTTGTACTTAAATTAAGCTTAGGGTTCAGATTAAAACTAATTCAAAACTAGTGTATCGGGTAGAAACCCAATGTGGATATATTCACACCGTACCATCAAAAGTCTTATGGATACACCAAGATTTGATCAGCATAAGTTTGAAGGGTGGGCGTGAAGTACGGCCGAGACCCATATCGACACAGTTCAAAAGATATAGCTAATTTATGTCATAATTATGTCAGCTACAAAAACACTTAGTTTGAATTTTGTCACCCTCGGGAACACTATGAACCAGTATAGCTGATTTTGGTCCAAATCTCGGCCATACTTCACACTTATTTGAACCACATTTTCTCGTAAATGTTAAAATATTATTAAAAAGTTGTCAAGTGTTTTAAGATAAAGAATTTGTTTTTTGGTTTCCACAGTGATGAGTATGATTAAAATTCAGATGGGGCAGTCGAAATTTTAGATTTCGTTTTTTTTAAGCTATGCATTACAAAAAGTAATATTGGTATGTGATTTATGTCAGACTTATGACAATTCAAATAAAACATTCAAAAAATTTTTTTTACAAAAGTATACCATAGAAAATCAATTTTCAATTTTGGAATAGGGGCGACCCTAGTCAAAATCAATTTTGTCACTTTTTTCTTCGAAAGTTTATCCAAATGGATTGAAACTTTGCATAAATATTCTAGTGCTTAAAACAAATACAAATAAAACATCTTAAAAATTTTTTTGAGCAAAGAACCAAGTAGGAAATACATTTTCAATTTTGGACTAGGGGCGACCCAAGTCAAAATCAATTTTGCCACCTTTTTCTTCGAGGGTTTATCCAAATGGATTGAAACTTTGCATAAATATTCTAGTGCTTAAAACAAATACAAATAAAACATCCTAATATTTTTTTGAGCAAAGAACCAACTAGGAAATACATTTTCAATTTTGAACTAGGGGCGACCCTAGTCAAAATCAATTTTGTCACTTTTTTCTTCGAGGGTTTATCCAAATGGATTGAAACTTTGCATAAATACTCTAGTGCTTTAACAAATACAAATAAAACATCCTAAAATTTTTTTGAGCAAAGAACCAAGCAGGAAATACATTTTCAATTTTGGACTAGGGGCGACCCTAGTCAATATCAATTTTGTCACTTTTTTCTTCGAGGGTTTATCCAAATGGATTGAAACTTTGCACAAATATTCTAGTGCTTAAAACAAATACAAATAAAACATCGTAAAATTTTTTGAGCAAAGAACCAAGTAGGAAATACATTTTCAATTTTGGACTAGGGGCGACCCAAGTCAAAATCAATTTTCTCACTTTTTTCTTCGAGGGTTTATCCAAATGGATTGAAACTTTGCATAAATATTCTAGTGCATTAAACAAATACAAATAAAACATCGTAAAATTTTTTTGAGCAAAGAACCAAGTAGGAAATACATTTTCAATTTTGGACTAGGGGCGACCCAAGTCAAAATCAATTTTCTCACTTTTTTCTTCGAGGGTTTATCCAAATGGATTGAAACTTTGCATAAATATTCTAGTGCATTAAACAAATACAAATAAAACATCGTAAAATTTTTTTGAGCAAAGAACCAAGAAGGAAATACATTTTCAATTTTGGACTAGGGGCGACCCTAGTCAAAATCAATTTTGTCACTTTTTTCTTCGAGGGTTTATCCAAATGGATTGAAACTTTGCATAAATACTCTAGTGCTTTAACAAATACAAATAAAACATCGCAAAATTTTTTTGAGCAAAGAACCAAGAAGGAAATACATTTTCAATTTTGGACTAGGGGCGACCCTAGTCAAAATCAATTTTCTCACTTTTTTCTTCGAGGTTTTATACAAATGGATTGAAACTTTGCATAAATATTCTAGTGCTTAAAACAAATACAAATAAAACATCCTAATATTTTTTTGAGCAAAGAACCAAGTCGGAAATACATTTTCAATTTTGGACTAGGGGCGACCCTAGTCAAAATCAATTTTGTCACTTTTTTCTTCGAAGGTTTATCCAAATGGATTTAAACTTTGCATAAATATTTAAGTGCTTAAAACAAATACAAATAAAACATCGCAAAATTTTTTTGAGCAAAGAACCAAGAAGGAAATTCATTTTCAATTTTGGACTAGGGGCGACCCTAGTCAATATCAATTTTGTCACTTTTTTCTTCGAGGGTTTATCCAAATGGATTGAAACTTTGCACAAATATTTTAGTGCTTAAAACAAATACAAATAAAAAATCGTAAAATTTTTTGAGCAAAGAACCAAGTAGGAAATACATTTTCAATTTTGGACTAGGCGCGACCCTAGTCAAAATCAATTTTGTCACTTTTTTCTTCGAAGGTTTATCCAAATGGATTTGAACTTTGCATAAATATTTAAGTGCTTAAAACAAATACAAATAAAACATCCTAAAATTTTTTTGAGCAAAGAACCAAGAAGGAAATACATTTTCAATTTTGGACTAGGGGCGACCCTAGTCAAAATCAATTTTCTCACTTTTTTCTTCGAAGGTTTATCCAAATGGATTTAAACTTTGCATAAATATTCTAGTGCTTAAAACAAATACAAATAAAACATCGCAAAATTTTTTTGAGCAAAGAACCAAGTAGGAAATACATTTTCAATTTTGGACTAGGGGCGACCCAAGTCAAAATCAATTTTCTCACTTTTTTCTTCGAGGGTTTATCCAAATGGATTGAAACTTTGCATAAATATTCTAGTGCATTAAACAAATACAAATAAAACATCGTAAAATTTTTTTGAGCAAAGAACCAAGTAGGAAATACATTTTCAATTTTGGACTAGGGGCGACCCTAGTCAAAATCAATTTTGTCACTTTTTTCTTCGAGGGTTTATCCAAATGGATTGAAACTTTGCATAAATACTCTAGTGCTTTAACAAATACAAATAAAACATCCTAAAATTTTTTTGAGCAAAGAACCAAGAAGGAAATACATTTTCAATTTTGGACTAGGGGCGACCCTAGTCAAAATCAATTTTCTCACTTTTTTCTTCGAGGTTTTATACAAATGGATTGAAACTTTGCATAAATATTCTAGTGCTTAAAACAAATACAAATAAAACATCCTAATATTTTTTTGAGCAAAGAACCAAGTCGGAAATACATTTTCAATTTTGGACTAGGGGCGACCCTAGTCAAAATCAATTTTGTCACTTTTTTCTTCGAAGGTTTATCCAAATGGATTTAAACTTTGCATAAATATTTAAGTGCTTAAAACAAATACAAATAAAACATCGCAAAATTTTTTTGAGCAAAGAACCAAGAAGGAAATTCATTTTCAATTTTGGACTAGGGGCGACCCTAGTCAATATCAATTTTGTCACTTTTTTCTTCGAGGGTTTATCCAAATGGATTGAAACTTTGCACAAATATTTTAGTGCTTAAAACAAATACAAATAAAAAATCGTAAAATTTTTTGAGCAAAGAACCAAGTAGGAAATACATTTTCAATTTTGGACTAGGGGCGACCCTAGTCAAAATCAATTTTGTCACTTTTTTCTTCGAAGGTTTATCCAAATGGATTTAAACTTTGCATAAATATTTAAGTGCTTAAAACAAATACAAATAAAACATCGCAAAATTTTTTTGAGCAAAGAACCAAGAAGGAAATACATTTTCATTTTTGGACTAGGGGCGACCCTAGTCAATATTAATTTTGTCACTTTTTTCTTCGAGGGTTTATCCAAATGGATTGAAACTTTGCACAAATATTTTAGTGCTTAAAACAAATACAAATTAAACATCGTAAAATTTTTTGAGCAAAGAACCAAGTAGGAAATACATTTTCAATTTTGGACTAGGGGCGACCCTAGTCAATATCAATTTTGTCACTTTTTTCTTCGAGGGTTTATCCAAATGGATTGAAACTTTGCACAAATATTTTAGTGCTTAAAACAAATACAAATAAAACATCGTAAAATTTTTTGAGCAAAGAACCAAGTAGGAAATACATTTTCAATTTTGGACTAGGGGCGACCCAAGTCAAAATCAATTTTCTCACTTTTTTCTTCGAGGGTTTATCCAAATGGATTGAAACTTTGCATAAATATTCTAGTGCATTAAACAAATACAAATAAAACATCGTAAAATTTTTTTGAGCAAAGAACCAAGTAGGAAATACATTTTCAATTTTGGACTGGGGGCGACCCTAGTCAAAATCAATTTTGTCACTTTTTTCTTCGAGGGTTTATCCAAATGGATTGAAACTTTGCATAAATACTCTAGTGCTTTAACAAATACAAATAAAACATCCTAAAATTTTTTTGAGCAAAGAACCAAGAAGGAAATACATTTTCAATTTTGGACTAGGGGCGACCCTAGTCAAAATCAATTTTCTCACTTTTTTCTTCGAAGGTTTATCCAAATGGATTTTAACTTTGCATAAATATTCTAGTGCTTAAAACAAATACAAATAAAACATCGCAAAATTTTCTTGAGCAAAGAACCAAGTAGGAAATACATTTTCAATTTTGGACTAGGGGCGACCCAAGTCAAAATCAATTTTCTCACTTTTTTCTTCGAGGGTTTATCCAAATGGATTGAAACTTTGCATAAATATTCTAGTGCATTAAACAAATACAAATAAAACATCGTAAAATTTTTTTGAGCAAAGAACCAAGTAGGAAATACATTTTCAATTTTGGACTAGGGGCGACCCTAGTCAAAATCAATTTTGTCACTTTTTTCTTCGAGGGTTTATCCAAATGGATTGAAACTTTGCATAAATACTCTAGTGCTTTAACAAATACAAATAAAACATCCTAAAATTTTTTTGAGCAAAGAACCAAGAAGGAAATACATTTTCAATTTTGGACTAGGGGCGACCCTAGTCAAAATCAATTTTCTCACTTTTTTCTTCGAGGTTTTATACAAATGGATTGAAACTTTGCATAAATATTCAAGTGCTTAAAACAAATACAAATAAA